GATATAAAATCTAGAGCTGAAAGGTTTCTAAGCAGTATCACAAACTCGATGGAAATGGTACTAAGGCGAAGCGTAGAGGTCAGGATAATCCTCTTGCCTGAAACCGAGTTACTCGTTGTCCCTAAGAAACCAGAAATGACAAGCAGAGGTGGAGATCTGAATGCCATTACTGGTTTAAACGCTGCTGCATCATCAGACCTAGGAGTTGGTAGCAGCGAAGAAAGCAGATCAAAAGCCCCAATGCAAAGGATAGAATCGATAATCCGAGAACAAAGACTAGAAACTGCATGGTTACAAACGGCTGATAAAGACACACCTGGATCTATAATAGGGATAAAACCTGAAAGGAATCAGATTCTACCTCAAGAAGACGCTTATCGCCAACCTAACGTAGGTTCTCCCGCTATATCTTCTTCTGGACTAACGTCTCACCATTGGGTAGATGAGTTAAACAATGAAGTTAAGCTTTTGAAAATCGGTGAGAACGGTGAGCTTCAAGAGAATCTAACCGGTAAAAGAGGAGAGCATTGTCCTCTTTCCCCGAGTATGCTTCACGATTCTAACTTCGGACACAAGAAAGACAATCCGTAAGTTCCTTCATGATTCTTGTTGTTTCATGCTCGCTACAAAAAGTTGGGTTGTGTATGAACATTTTGGATTTTGGTTTGTGTAGAGGAGGAGGATACGAATCAGGACCAGGAACAAGAAGAGTTGGTTGTAATATGTTATTTTGTTGGAACACACACAAGACTCAAAGGAGTAACAAGGTATGTGGTCGGTTACTAATCAGAAACTGAATCTTCTTTTCAGTATATTTGATTCGGTTTGTTTATCTCATTTTGTGGATTTGATTTCGTAGAAACACGGTAAGGGAACTCCTGTTCGTCCCCGGAGAAGTCGGAAGAGAGGATTCTCTATGTTTAATGGATGTGCTAAGCCAAGGAAGGCAGAAGGTAAATTTAGAAGATGAAGCTTTAGTTTCAAGAATCATGAAAACAAAATTGTTCGCTCAGACTCTAATTTTCTCATCTATTATTCCACTTCCGCATAGTTTTCCTTGAATACTATTTGATAATTGATATGTCAAAGGATAGTTTTATTTTATTCACTGTAAAGTTCATATCTTATTGAGTTTAATAGACTCGCCTTTTGTGTTCTTTTTTTTATTAAACTTAAGAAATGTTACTATGAAATCTAATAAAATGTCAATCTTAAACTCTTGAGCAGTGGTTTATATTTTTTTTTTCTGGTTTGTCTTATATTTTTTTTTGTAGAAAAATTAAGTTGATGAACGTCAGCCAATTTTTGTTAATAGCATATACACGTAATATACAACTCTGAGTTATATTGGTAACCATCAATCTCTTGAAAACGAAGATGAAATTAACAATCTGCATACAACAGTGAAACTTGGATCACGTCTTCGGTCAGAAGGCAAAATGACGATGGTATCATACTGGGTATTTTCTCATAATGTTTAAAATTTAAATTATATTCAAAAATAATTCTTTGTTAATGTTTTACATTTTATAGTTTTATACTAATAATTTAATATAAGTTTTTATTTATTTAGGTAAGGAACCCGTACGATATCGCACGGAAACTCATTTTATAAAAAAAAAATATTACATTTTATAACTTAATATTTTATATAAAATTACATTATTTTTATTTTGAAAGATGTCTATTTGTCACAATATATATTCATTTACAGATGCTACTAACAATTCATGTTTATTTATAAGTTTAGATTTTAATTAGAATAAAAATATATCAATACCAACTATGACATATATATATATATATATCTTATTATAAGTTTAGGTAAGTTATTTTGAAATTACGAATAAATGCAATCAACTTAGATAAAAAACTCAACACCAAACATAATATTATAGACCTTAAATCTTATTAAAAACTATATTATATATATATATATATATTATAAAAATTAACGTCCAAAATTTATGCACGTTTGAAGATGAAAAGATACTATTTAAAATTTCAATAATTTTATTATTAATAATAATATAGAAATTTTTTTAATACCTATTTTGTGTAAGAGACATATAATTCTCAAAATATTTGATCAATTTTTTGTCTCTAAAGATAAGAGTTAGTCTTTGAAGATATACAGACATCATTTTACTTTTATTGTGATTACCACTTCGATAACAAGTAAATGCAATACAATAAAAAAATTTTACATCAAATATTTTGAATTTAAATGAGAGTTTAGTTTTAATCGACCAAAATAAATAGTATGAAACCTCAGAAACATAACTATTGATATGATTAATTTTGTAAACATTGAAATAAAACAAACACTTAAATTATCCTATAAATAAAATCACTAGAATATGTTTTAGATAATATGAAGTTTCTTTAAGAAGGTATATAAAATTAGATATGAAAATGAACGAAAGATAATTTCTTAAGAATCTATACAATTTAAAGAATGGAAACACACTTATTACCAATTTTAACAACATATCGAACACTAATGCATTTTTTCATTTTTTATATGTATATCTCTAAATATCTTTGATGATCTTTGAATAATACATCTCTCTTTTTATATATATGTGATTATTGTGATTTTATCCTTTTTTTTAAGGTTGAGATTTGTTATTACCTACAACTCATTATATAAAAGACTAAACATTGTAATGATTGACCCAAATATTTCATCACTGAATGACACAACCACCAAAAGAATATAATGGTTCATCACCACCTATTGCAATTGTTCATTATCAAAGGTTACAGTGGTTCATCATCAAAAGTTACAATGTTCAATTAATCAGTTGCAATTTTTCATCTATACAATTGTATTAGTTCACTTAAATGACATGATACACGTTTACACAATCTCAAAAACCATTTCATCAGTAGCATAAAAATACATTTTTATGAGAATAAAACATATTTTTACACTTTTTTATAATTTATCATTTCATTTCATAAAAAAATCATTTCATTGCATATTTTGAATAAAAATATTTATTATGTGAAGATGCATTTTTATGATGAAAAAAATAAAATATTATTATAAGAAAATGCAACTCTAGATATTTTTTAAGACTATTGAAATACTTAACATGAAAAGACACAAATTTTCACATTTACTGAGATTTTTATAAAATAAAATTAAAAAACACATTCTTAGAATGATAATAAATATCTTTGCACATTTTCACAATCTCTTCAATTTCCTTTTTAGCATGAAAATATACATTTTTATGATGATAAGATATAAATTTACACATTTTTACAACTTATTATAGATCATTTTATTTTTAGGACCAAAAATATTTCATTATGAGAAGTTGTATTTTTATGATGAAAATACATATTTATAAAAAGATGTACCCCTAGATAGATTTTTAAGTTAATGATTTTTTTTTAAAAAAATGAAAAGATACAACCTTTCTCATTTATTGGATTCTTATAAAAAAAATATGCTCAGAACACCAAGACACATTTTGGAATATTTTCATAATCTCTCTAAAAAAAACATTTCACCTTTTTAGCATGAAAATCTACATTTTATGATGATAAAGTATATATTATACGTTTACCTATAATAAATCATTGTTTAAAAAAATGAAAATATATCATTATATTGATACATTTTATTAGGAAAAGCACATCATTATGGATGAACCCCTAAACATTTTTAAAACTAATTACAAAATTAAAAATGAGAAGATACAATATTTCACATTTATTTTTGGTATTTTAACTTATTTTAAAACTAATTAAAGAGATATAACTATTAAAATTAATACATTTTAGAGATGATATTGAAAAGATATATATATATATATATATATATATATATATAATTTTACAACTTCTTGATACAAATTTTAGAATTAAATAAACACAATCACAACTCTTAAATTTTAGAAAGATATTTTTTGAGATATTTATCTATTTTCTAAATTAATTTAAAAGACACAACTCTTCAAATAAAACAATTAAGAGATAATGTTAAAAAGACACATATATAATTTGATAACTTCTTTTTAACAATTGCAACTTTTAGAAGGAATCAACACAACCTTTGATATAACACGTTGAACAATCCATCTTTATAATGTTTCAAACCATTGCGCTACAATACAAGTAATATAACCTCCGTATTAATGTATTTATATTCCTTAAGAGTGTTTAAAAGTGTATTTGATTTTCTTTCCTTTGTCCCTTAACAAGTCAAACCACCAAAGAACACATGAAAGAAACCACCAATGTGTTCATAACAACGGTCGTGATGCTGGTTTCAAATAAAAATGGTCATGCTACTTTTAAATGCAGCATACTTGTGACATGTCAAAAATGTTAACCTCATGCAGGATGCAGAGAGGGGCTACAGGCAAGCGGAGTGACCATTCTGGAGAAGGGGAAAAGTTGATACTGTCGCCTCTCTTGCCATCTCTTTCATTCATTTCTAACCATTCTTCCACGTCGCCTCCGAGTTTCCAATTTTCATGGTTTCCTCATGACTTAATCATGTCCTTTGCTTTCCCACTCTCTTATTTAGCTTTCGTCATCTATTATATAAAAGAGTGTAATCTCTCCTATAAAGCCTACCACGTCAACAGCCACGTCAACAAGTCCACATCAGCGTTTCATTAACGCGTTAACGTCATAGGCCTTTTGTGAACTGTATTGGATCAGTTTATTTCGGCCGGCCCGTTACATAAGAGCTATCCCTTAGCCCTAATCCGACGTAGCAGAAACCACCGAGTTCGCTCTCCTAACCCTAATCCGTCTCTCCTCTTCACGCGGCGTGAGGCGGTGACGATAGAGCTTCTTTGCAGTAATGGACTGCGTCATGAATCCGTCTTTAGTTCTGATGATTTATTCTCCCACGGTGTTTCTTTGATGCTCTGAATAGATGTGAGATGAGAGGCGGTGTATAAATAGATGTAAGTTTTCTCTATGTGAACTCTTCTTATCTCTTTATATCTTATCTCATACTAATAGATTTCGATATGGCTAATTCAAGGGTCTTCTTCTCTGACCTCAAGGAGAACGGCGATCCATTTTGTGGAATGGTTGAGGTGGTGGAGGAAGTCCAATCTAATCGCAAGGAGAATGGCGAATCCAGTTCTAAACCGATTGAAGACGAGAGTTTGAAGATGATGTGTACATTGCCGCGGCTTATGGTGATTTGGAGAAGCTTGGTTGAGTGTGAGGGTCGCTCTATTTCTAAGCCTGATGGTTTTGGCTATTATGCTCTTCAGTGGTTTGCATTAAACAACCGCACAGCCGTTACTCTGTACAATCTTTTTTTCTGATCTGAGACTTTGTGTGTTTGTATTGGTGTGTGAAACGTTAAGCATCAGCATTGACTGTAAGCTCACCACACAAATACTCTTTTTTTAGTCGAGAGACAAAACGGAAGCTACAATCATAATTAAGTCAAATCAACAAGGAACCCAACTTCAAGAATCTACTCTTCAATTGGCTCCATACACTCCGTAACCACCTCCTTCTTCTTCTTCTTTTTTTTGTTCATGGGGGTTATAAGATTCTTGAGATTTCATTGATACTTACTTTGATTTTTTTTATTGAAGGAACTGAAGAAAACAAAGTCATTGATGAGACCAGGGAGATAGATATCAGACTTTTATATCTCACAAGATGGATGAAGAAGAAGAAAGTGACTTGCATATGAATGAAGCATTCTACTTACTTGAGAGGTCGATATGTGCTTTGTGGTTAGCTGATTTTGCATTGTCTGGCGAGATTGTTGGCAATCTTATTGAACCGAATCCTGAGATCTTTAAGTGCCCTCCTCTATTCAGCAAAATATTTCTCGCACCTTATGAGTATGAACCGAATCCTGAGATCTTTACCAAAATTTTCAAATGTTAAGAAAAGAACATCTCATGAGTATGAACCAAAAGGTTTATGACTTATCTAATAAATCTTTTGGTTATCTTACTTTGGCTTTAGATCACAGTGAACTACTGAACTATTGGATCTGGTTTACATTCATGGAGGTAATTCATGCCCCTGAGATACCAGACACAACCAAGAAAACAAAAATAAAACAAAAACATCAGGTGAGGTACTCAGTAATTACCAGAGCCTTAGCAGCAATTCATGAGAAGTTGACATACCTGGCAACATCAAGAGCAAATCTAAATTCCTTGGAAGGAGAAAGACGTGCTTTCTTTTTGAGATATACACCTAAGTCTCCCTGCAACAAAACCAAACGAAAATACATTGATATGGTTGATGTAATAAGGTAAAGCCAAGATGAAGAAAAGAATAAACATCCTTACTTTTGGATTATACTACGATCATCATTGGTACGTTTTGTGTGACGGCTCCAACAAACTAAACAACATTTGGATGCCTGACTTTTTCTAGCAACGTGAGTTCATGACTGAATATGTTTCTGTTCAGACACAAAACCAGAAAGACAAATCAACATCTCTTAACTGAACTATCGCTTCTGAAACAGAGTTAAAGAAAGATATGAAATTTGTTTTAGTTCTATGTTAAGATCATTTAGATAAAGATTGAAGAAGATGAGTACACGCATTAGTAGTCTTTGTGGAAACTAAGTTAACTCCTTTCAAAATGTAAGAACATAATATCCTTTTTGTTGGTCAAATGAACATAATATCTATTATGATATTTTTTCACAAACTAACATATATTCAGACAAAGTAATGGATAAGTTAAAATTAATTCTCTTTACAATGATTTCAGGACCAATCATTCTATAAATGGTAATTAATTTATGCATAAGTTAAAATTCACTTTATTTACAATGATTTTAGGATCAATGATGTAGAAAGTTAAATAAATTATTTCTACGAACTTTTGATAAATATTTTAAGATGGAAAAATCTAATTTATTACAATTACAATAGAATGTATATTAACAATTAACTATATATTTAAATTATTGTACAAAAATATTAAAATAAAAAATATTAAATAAAATTTGGCTGTAGCGCCTAACAATCCTAATTATTTAAAACACGTAAAACAAAAACAATGAATAATTTTTAATGCTTTTGCAATTTTTTAGCTACTTATATTTTTATTATAGATTATAATACTTATAATAAAATAAACATACTAAATACTAAATATATAATGAAAACTAAAATTTAATCAAAAATCTCGGGCGTAGCCCGGGCCGGCTCTAGTTGAATTATAAAGTTCGGTTCTTCTTCTTGTGTTTTTTTTTTCATACTTAGATCATCTAATCCCGTGAGTGAGTTTCTATGAATCAGTTTTTTTTCTCTATGAATCATAGATCTTGAAATATTTCATGTTTTCAGATTCTTGGATTTTGCCTGACATCTGGTTTCACTTCGAATACACTACTTTCTCTGGTACTGGGGCTCGTAGTTGATATTGTCTATTCCCTGAGAGAACTTAAAAAAAATGCTCTCTCTGTCGAACAAATATAATATATTTCATTTGTTCACGGTAGACTGAAATTCGTGTCTGAAAAACATGAATCATGTGTAATGTGTTCATTACAAAGTACGTATCACAGATGCAAAATTTATAAGTACAAAAAGACATATTTTCATCTAGTAAAAGAAAATTAAGACTAAAATTTCATTGTTTCATCTAGAATTTTAAGCAATCCAAACACGAACATGAAAGATTTTTCCTACTATTTTTCGTTGACAACATTTCATTTGAATATCTTCTAACAAATAAGAAGTGTTTGTATGATCAATAAGAAGTGTTTAGATAATTTCACATAACTTTTATTATTCACCATCTTTAAAATTAGTGAAAATTTTAGTTTAAGAAAATTGTAGACATAGACTATATTTTGATATTCAACGAAGTCATTGAAAAGTTACAACTTTTCAAATTATAATCAGTTATTTTAATGAATAGTCACAACTTTCTATTTTATGTAGTTAATTGAATAGTATTCTTATAATATATACAACTCGGATAAATACATCTTTTCAGAAAATATATATGTGACTCCCCATTAAACTGAAAGGTTATGTTTTTATTTTTAATATTTTAAATTTATTTTTAAAAAATGTAACCGTTCAAAAGTTAGTTAATTTAAAAGATTGTTATTTTCAAAATCTTTAATATTTCAATTTATTTTGAAAAAATGTGTCCGTTCAAAAGTTAGTTAATATAAAAGATTGTCTCTTTTCAATTTTTTTTTTTTTGAAACAATGTGTCCATTCAAAAGTTAGTTAATTTTAAATAAGATGTCTATTCAAAAAAAATTAATATTATAATTATTTTGAAATATTTTATATGTTTAAAAATTAGTTAATTTAAAAAAATGGGTCTATTCAAAATTTTAAATATTTCAACCTTTTTGAAATAATGTGTCTGTTCAAAAATTAGTTAATTTGAAAAACTATGTCTATTCAATATATATATATATATATATATATATATATATTGTAAGTACTATTCAATTAACTAAATATAAATAGAAAAGTGTGACTATTCAATAAAATAACTGATTAGAATTTGAAAAGTTGTAACTTTTAACAAGTTCTTTAAATATCTATATACTAGTGGTTGGCCCGCCCTACGGGCGGGTGTGTTTACACTAAATATATTTTATGTTAAAATATATTTTAATTTTATAAAACATTTGAAAATTTACTTTATAATAAGATAATAAATATTTTTCTGCAAAGATGATACTGTAAATTTTATTAAATTTTCTGAGAAAAAATAATTTTTTAGTGAACACAAGATTATTAAATAAACAAAATTAAGGAAAATGTAATAATTTATATTTCTTCTTTTTATTTTTATTTCAATTTGATATAGTTGAAGAAAATTCAAAAGTTAAAATAACATTTTTCTAAGAGTTTCTAAATTTAATATTATTATATTTATAATTTTCTCCCGATAATTAATCAATCCATCTTCAAGCTAAATTAATTGAAATATAATGTAATGTGATTTTTTTTTTTGTCAGCAACATTACATACTCATATAGACTCTGAAAATCAAACTGGTGACTCCGAATCCATATGGACCACAAAGGTTGATTGCTTTCGTGCACTACGTGCAAGACTATCTGCCTTTGTATTGTGCGTCCGTGAAACATGGAGAAGCTCAAAACTCTGGAAACTTCTTCTCAAGACTGCTATATCTTCCAGATAACTTGCGAATGCCGGCCATTCTTCAGGTTTCGAAACCATCTTCACCAACTGAGAACAATCCGTCGCAAAAGTTATATAATGTAATGTGATAAACTGTAAAAATGTATATTTTAAAGTACTATATAAATAGTTTCAATAATGTCATAGATAATAATTAATATATTTTATTTAACAATAAATTATGTTTTATAATATATGTTTTTCAGTTTATATTAGATTTCCAATTTATAATGAAATTTATTCAATTTTTTAATATTTTAGTAATTGAGTTTTGTGAATTATTGTTGAAATATTTAGAAACATGTACACTCATATCTAAAGGTTACACCAACTCTGATTAGTACCTTTATCAGATCATAGTGAACTCAAATTGAATTAATATTTGTAAGTAATAAGTTATATCAGAGAAGACATGAAGACGAAGTGTAATCATAACCGATTATAAGTTACTTTCCAAACTTAGTTACTATATAATTTTCCTAAAGTGAGATTAATGTTGTATATCAACATTAAAACATGCTAATGGACGATGGAGTAGATTTCAAGAG